GTCGACACAGAAAGGGAAGATATTTTACTGAGGTCCCTGAACGCACCGCCGCACGCTCTTGTGTGAGCGCGCGCTCAGCCATAATGTCCCCTTTACCACTACGGTTAACTGCATTAATCGGAGTCTTTACTCTAGGCGTAGTGTGTTCCCTGACAGTAATACGCCGGCCATAATGCCCCTGTACCCACATAGCGCCTTGATAGCACTTCCTGCGGTTTATCACTCTCATTCTTTGCAGGAGCTACAACTGGGGCAGCGAGTGGGGAATTTGTACGGTCAACATTATGTGTAAGTGTAGAATTGTAGAAACAAATGACACTCAGACTTGGATACAGATACAGTGTGTGTGTGTGACAGCCGACTGGTAAAGAGATTGTCAGAAATACTTGTATTGTCCATCGCAAAATCCCTGCATATGGTTATTAAAAATAGGTGTTTGTCATCAAAGCAACAAGAAAAAGCTGCATATCTGGATGTTCAGGTCTCTGAACACTGAGGTCTGTGAACATGAGAAAGTGGTCTGCTCTTTGTACCATTGCTCTCCTAAGTTAAATACTTTTTTCTGTTCAACATTTAAAATAAACGGAAGTATTGGGCTACTTTTTCAGTAACAAAATATTGCGCAACACATGTTTGAGGATAATGTCCAGTGAAACCATTATTGTCCTCATGAGTACAGGTTTTCTACAATTATGTGTGTGTGTGTATATTGTCCAGATATACCATTGTGGTCCTCATAACGTAGGGACTTGCTTTGTGTATGGGTGTGTATGGGTAATGTCCAGCTAATCCAGAGGGGTTCTCATAAATCATAATTTTGTCTGGAAACGCCCACTCCCGCCCAGTCCCGCCCCCGTCCTCACAGTCCTGTAGAATTTCAGGTCTACAGATCTCTACACTATTTTACCAAAACTGAATTCTAAATAGCCAGAAATGTAGCTGAATTTTTTATGATCAGTTCAAGCACTCTGCTGTCTCTCTACGGCAAAGGGAAAGGTGGGTCCCCATAAATCAGTGTTTGAACTGGTACGAGGAAAAAGTGCTGACAAACCACCCGTGTGTGTGTGTGTGTGTGTGTGTGTGTGTGTGTGTGTGTGTGTGTGTGTGTGTGTGTGTGTGTGTGTGTGTGTGTGAACAACTTTGTTTCGGAATGTGTTCAATACTTAACGTTTTTTTCATTATTACCATACAATACATAGATTTAAGAATAAATGAAACAAATAATACAAAATTGACCTAAAAAAGCAGACAGATTTTGCAACTCCATGCGCCCCGATCAGGAGCGCATAGACTTTTTATCCGCTACCCTTTCTCTCCAACAACAGCACAGTTAATTGTAGTCCTGTACGGAACAGCCTATACTCGCTATCGAGTTCATTACAACGATGAAACACAGTCTTGTTCTACACTTGCATGCCACTGCCCACCCGTGATCAATTAGCCTATAATTTTATGTATGCACCCCGGACCGGCACCAGTTCCTCCAGCAATGTAGGGAACTGTGGCGCATCAGGTAATGCACGCACATCGCGCTGCCCCGTTTTACCAGCACGTAGAAAACGGTCACAAACAACGAGTGTGCATTTGGACCATTCTCCTTTTTAATAGAGATGGCGGTGGCGTGAGTTAAAACCGTAGGCACAGACTATGACTTTCTCCCTCTCAGTTCGCACTGCACCAGCAAAACAGATACAGGGAGGTATTTACACACACACCCCGCGCTGCAGCTGGAGACGTGTTTAAAGAGGCGATAGTGGTGATATCTCTGGCTGCTTCTAACTGCTAGTGTTGGCCGCTGAAACCCTTAAAATTCGGCGATTTGTTCAATACAAATCTTTACATTGGTTTCATACAGAAGTTCCACTTTACTGATGCCTTTCTTTAAGGTTTCTCCGAACATGAGCTGTGTACGCTTGTATGGCACTTCCGTCCCGAGCAGCATACACAGAGAAAATCAGCCAGGACAAAGTCCCCAGACACTGATTCCCTAGGGTTACTAGCCCCAAATGATAATCAACCAAAAACGAAACACAACCGCTCAGTTTCACAGGTAATTTTAGGATACCGTCAATCAGAGATTCTGGTAAGGCAATGTCCAAATGTGGATTTGAAATTACACTTACCAGTTCTGAAGATTTGTTGGTATCCTGCCGACAACGCCAATTTGTGGGGGAAACTTCTGAAGCAATTGGAGCTTTGATGGCAAACACTGATGGTTTATTTGGAGCTTCGGCCGGAGAATTCACAAGACATGTCACGGGCCACGATCTGACCACACGGTTGAGATGCCACAATCAATTCTGAAGAACTCTACCCCAGACCCGTGTATTTAGCTAGTTCAGAGAGAATAATCAACATTGTGCATAACAAGATAGAATCATAACACCTCTATCAGCTGACGCCAACAGGCAGGAACAGGGAGACAAAGCACTGAGAGCACAGCAGCCAAGGTTACAGGTGCGTGTGCTCAGTCAGGACAGTATAAACTCGGTCAAAGTTATGGGCCTTGGAAAATATTTCCCCAACAATAACAAATAACATCAACAACAAATAACATCAGTTCAAAATAGAGAAAATCAATAACAAATCAATACATTCAGGAAATACATTCAGCAATGCAAATGACCAATTGAATGCATGAGTCTCATCACTGGATTATTAGTGACTGCAATGAGCCTGTTTTGCACTACACCTCTTTTCAAAACGCGGTTGCACTCTCAAGTCGTGCTCAATGTTGAGCCTAGATCTGTATTTTGTTTTCAGTGTTGCAACAGCTGAAAAGCCCATTTCACAGAGATAAGATGTGGCGAAGGGAAGAAGAATGTGCACAGCTCTCTGCCCAATGGTTTCAGTTGTGTGTGTGGCAGGCTCGGATTGGCCATTGGGAGATTCAGGACTTTTCCCGGTGGGCTGCTGCCGTTGGTGGGCTGCTGCCGTTGGTGGGCTGCTGCCTTCGGTGGGCCGCTGGCTCTGGCATAGGTGGGCCGGGGACTTTCACAGCGCCGCTGCGCCGGTACCGCATCCGCCACTGCATCCGCCACCGCATCCGCCACCGCAAACACCCGCCGTTGCGAGGCTCCAGCGGCTCCGGGCCGGCGGCTCCGGCGCAGCGGCGCAGTGGAAGTCCACCGCCGTTGCGAGTCTCTGGCTGTAACAGTCCACTACCGCCCGCGAGGACCCAGGTTCGATTCCGGCCTGAGGTCCAAAACGTTTATTACATTTTTTAAAAATAATCTCCCGTTCATCGCGTCCATTTGCGACCCACCTATCACATCTCTGTGCCCCACCAGTGGGGCGGGCCCATGGATGTATAATAAGAACTGGATACAGCGTGGGAGGCGGGGTCTCGTTCTTTCCTATGAGAGCTGCTCATTGGCGCAGGAAGACAAAATGGCCCAACTTTTGAGAGAGCGAAACATCATAGATTACCCGTCATGCCTGGCTGTCAGAGCAGAAGAACCCATATGCGCAGTCACAGAGCATGCGCCCCTTAAGCCCCGCCCCCCGAGCTCCCACTCTCGGCTCAGTAGAATGAATGGAGAGAGAAAATAAATCTAGATTCGGCTTTTAGTGCATTTTACAACTTTAAGGACCGAATGATTGGGCTATAAAATAGTTCATACTGGGTAGTTTATTTAGTTAAAAAAAAATGATCCACCGATTTACAGACGTCTCTTGTCTTTCCCCATGTTAGTCAATGGGAAAAAGTTGTTTTGGGCCGGGTGACGTCACGGACTGATGCGGAAATTGCAGTACCGCCGTTTGGACACAACGAATATTGGCACAGAGTCCGGCGCACTTCCTGGGGGCTTGGGCGGGCCCCACACTTTGAGAAACTGGCTGGTTTAGCGAAACACTATTTTCCTGAATGGGAGTGGAGCAGTACAGTACTTAAGTAAATGTACTTTGTTACTGTCCACAATCTGCCTAGAAGTATTTTAATGTTGTAGCTGTTCAAGATAGTCATTTTAAAATGTTTTAAAAATATACTGTTAGTAGTTAAACCAATAATAATGCTACGGCTGCAACTGACAGTTATGTAGGCACATTTGTATTTCATCTTAACGCTGTGTGATTAAAAGAATAAACACAAATAGCAGGATAGGCACACATATTTGCTATATCTTTCCCCACTGAAAAGGCACTGCACCAATACTGTTAAAATATTGGTATAGTTCATCCCTGTGCTGCTTGGCTCGAGCTGTAGCATGTAGCTATTTGTTGTTTGTATATCACGCAATCTGTCCTCTGGTTGCCTCTTTTGAATGACGAATACACCGCCGCCTGCTGGTAAGGAGTTATTGAGACTCACGCATGCGCAGTGCGTACGTGCTACTTTGCCGTCGGCTGAAGTCTTTGCGGTGTGTTCCAGTGCGACTGTTTGGCCAAGACGCAGGAGACATGAGGCGACACAACAGTCGGGTCCGTCGGGACCATGGTCGGGACGTGTTCTTTGGTGTCAGTTTGGTGTGTAGCGACCTTCACACTCACATACTGACACACTGAGGTATTACAGCTGACATTCTCAGCATGTTTGATTGAATTACTTCCATCCAATCATCTCTAGCATCGACTTCAAATCCCCCCTTCCAGATTTAAATGTTTTATATTTACATTGTTTCATGGCTGCATCTTTACATGAAATAGAAAATAAAAAATGTTTTGATCAGATTTCCTTTAATCCATCATGAGATGTCTGACAATAATAGGGTAGTTCTTTCTCGCCTGCACATTATGTACCAACTCCAATTAAACTAGTGTTGTGAGAGCTTCAAGACTTTCTCAAATTCAGATCTGAGTAATTAGTTTAACATGATTGTCTTTCAGCAAAAATAGCAACATTATTGCTGATGCCAGCTTTTAAATCAACACAGCAGCACATGAATAATACTTTTGAATAAATTCTAAGACTACATAGGGCATAAATACATCAACTTATGATACACAGCCACAAATCACGAGTTATTGTTTCACTAATCCACAGAGCTGAGGCAGAAACATTTCATCAACAAGGTTTTATTAGCAAATGTAAAAAACAACATCACTTTGTACTTGAGACAAAATGCCAAAAAAGGAAACAATCAACAACTTTATGACGAGTGGAGGAAAAACCAACATCATTTATCAAAGGGAACAAAGTAGGGGAATCAAATCTGCTTAGTTTGGTCCAAAGTAGTCCACCATGCCGTTCCCTTTACGACCATCAAAGAAGAAGAAGTTCCTGTGAGGAGCGTCTCTTTGGGAGAGGGCCTGAAGAGAAAGAGAAAAAACATTAAGCACACTTTTTTAAAGTAAACATTAAGGTTAAATGGTATTTTCTTTCAGAAGTGTGTAATCTCCAAAGCTTGTTTGGGTCCGGTCAGATGTCTGAGAGGACTGCTCTATAATTCTGAATGCTCGTTCATGTATTTAGCTTGTAGAAAAACTGCTTTAACTATCGATTTTATTTTGTATTGGGTTTGTTTTGTATTTGAATAACAGCATGCTGTTCATCCAGACTGACAGTGTAGAGACAAAGATCCTCTGAGCAACAGTTCAATAAGAATAGAATAAATCAGCAGTCATTGGTGAGAGAAGCTGTTCGCTTAGCATCAACATGTGTGCAGATTTCCTGTTTCAAGTTCTATCAGTACTCTCCCCTGTTATGGAACTGTGTGGGGATATGGACTGAATCATTTAAATCTTCTTCTTCGTGTCTGAATAATATTTTTTCTATTTTCTGTTATGATTATTGAATGAGAGATGTCCACCCAGCAGGGCATTCCAAACTTCATAACAGTAGTGTTTACAACCAGATAATCAGTCAAAACATGACAACTCAGAAACAGCCATCCTCATGCTTGTTTTCCAGTTCTGTTAAGTAATGTATGTTTGTTATTCTCAACTAAATGTTTATTGTTATTTAACTGGTTTCCTTATCTGAGCTTACCATCTCTGCACATGCCACCCCTTTTGATGGTACGGTCCAATTGATGGGCCTATAAAGGGTGGCATGTTAGGCTCATTGAGGGGAGGGAGAGTGTTGGAGACAGTCATATGGGGATATTGATGTTGTCAACCATGTACCAAGGATGAATACATTCCCACACCGGGTTATATCAGGGCGTTCTGCGTCCTTACTTGGTCGGGCCGCTCAAACGGAGACCGAGATCTACGGCCCCAGAGATCTCCTCCGTTACATTTCCTTGAGCAGACTGACACCCCGTCAGTCACTCAAAGTTCAGTGAGGTGAGTGAGATCTCTCAGATTCAGCCCACCAGCGTCAGTCAGACAGTTTCAGAGAGTTTCATCATCTACATCGTCCTGGAGACGTGCCAATATAATGCAGCCAGTCTCCCTCTCTAACTAACTAACTAACTCGCGCACTTTTTTATGATTCTATTTTTTTTTTTTGCTGAAATAAAAAAAAACAAGTCACTGGATTTAAAGCTCCCATGTCATGCTTTTCCGGTTATTACCCGTCCCCTTGTGTGTTATGAAGGTTTTTATGCATGTAAACGGTCTGCAGAGTCACAAACCCTCAAAGTACACCCTGTAGGGAGTACAACTCTAACACAGAAAAGACCTCCCCAAAACGCCTTGTTGGAGATTTCTCATTTTCCAGTGTTTACTTCCTGGGTACTCTGACGTGTGAATACCCAGAGGCCACACCCTCTGCCAGCCTTTCACGAAACAAAGCTTCCCAAACCTTTCATCGATTCATGCCGGATATGTACAGCGTAGGGCACTGAAGAACGATGCTGTTCCTACTTTGTTTGGACCAGCGGGAGATTCGGGTACACAACCTGTAAGTATTCATTGTTTGTGTATTTATGATGTTTAAAACAAATAAGGTATCTACCACGACTGTTTAAATGGGTAAACGTTTTCCGGGCTACTACGCCGGGATCGCGGAGAAATGCTCTCCGCAGACCCATTCTCACAGCGTTATAAACCTTTTTCTTAGCACGAGCACTTTGTATGGCTGCGCTCAGGCAGGCGCTTCTGTGCCATGTCTTCCCGGACAAACAGACTCAAGTTTAGTTTCTTTCCCAGGGCCATATGTGCACTAAACGCTGCTAATACTTAAGTTATCATGTCTTCAGTGCAATAATCATGTCTTCCCTGCAATACGAGGGGAATCGTGCAATTTAATTTATTATTTATTTATGTACATATTCCCTTTCATGTCTATTTAAGTCCCATTTCTTGTTTTTATATTGTCTTGTTGTTTTTATATTGTCTTGTTGTTGCGCGTTGGCACCTTGAGTTCACATTGTAATTTCGTTGTACAATGAGAAATTAAAGATCTTATCTTACTCAATATCAAGCTACACTTATTGTTTTTACTTCGGCTGCGAGTGTTTGTGTGTGCTCAGGATGAGTTTAGCTTGTTCTCGCTGTATCGCCGACCCGGAAACCTGTCCGCTCCTCGCAGCAGCGAGCCTCTCAACGTCCCGACCAATCAGAGCACACTGGGCTCACAGGGAGGGGGGGGGCAGGAGCTCCAACAAGCCGTTTAGGACAGAGAGTGAATACCTGGTGAATACACATACTTTATAGAGATGCTGTATGAGAAACCAATGTGAGTTTGGAACATTGAACAATGTAAATCTATTCTAGTATACCTCAACAATGGAAATATGATCAGTAGAAATGGCCATGACATGGGACCTTTAACAAGCACGTTTCAGTGTGCAAACAGGAGAGGAGAGGATTTATATGGTCCTCAAAACTATCTTATTCAAAAATACATGGTAAGACCACGTTGAATGGGATGATTGATGTGTCTGTGACTGGATTATCATAAAACTTTAAACATTGATGCGTGATGATGTAAAAACTTTATTGATTAGCCTGACAGGATCATCTCAACAGTGGGCTGTCTGAGTCTAGTCTAGTAGACTCCTGATGTATTGCATTAAACTGAGAAATATATCCAGCATTACCCTCAAACCTCCCTTCCAGGTTTACATTTATAACATTGCATGATCTAAGCCCACCATGTTTTAAAATCAAATGAAGAGTTTGATTCCGTGGTAACCCACCAGGACATGTCTGACAATAAAAAGGTCATGTTCTTGTACTGATGCCAATGACCCCAGGGTCAGTGGGGTAAAACCCTAACCCTACAGGATGCATACATAATTATATTATGAGTAGCATTTGTGTTTTTATTCATGATGTATATGTTCATTTTTCTATGTGTCTATTCAGTCATATTTACCATTCAGTGGTGTTTGCACTTTTAGCTTCCATAGTGATCTTATCTTTGCCACCTCTCTAATAACCCTCACTGGTCCATTCTGTTGTAATATCAAGGGTTTACTGAGTTGTTCAGCTGGAGGACTTCAAACACATTTCCCTTTTGAGAACTGTCTGGTCACACTTTAAAAAAGATTGTTTTTTTTCCGATAAGCAGCTAAACTTTAGTACTTTAAATCTTCCAATTATTTGAAGACATATGTTGGGCTTTTGCGTTTGAATTTTCAGCACTGTACGTCGTGAAATTAATTGAATTTGTATTTGGTGTAAGACACATACATATAAACACACTGAGCTCAGTTCAAGTGTAGAAACCATCATAGATGCATTTTATATTAAATACAATTCTGGTTGTGTTATTTCACATCATCGCTCAGAAAACACACACACACACATACACACATACTCAATGTTAATATTCTAATTCTAATATTAGGTTTTGAATTTAGCACTATACAAAATGAACAATGAACAGTAATGAACAAAGTTACTCTAACCTATATTTAGCGAAAGACACATACATGCACACAGACTCACTGAGCTCAGTTCAAGTGTAGTAACCATCATTAAATGTATTCTTAATTAAATACACTTTAGGTGCAAAGATTTCACATCATTGCTCAGAATAAGTACACACACACACACATACGCACACACACACACACGCACGCACACACACACGCGTGGATATCTTAAGGTGAATAAGAGTCTATGACATTCAGCTTGTGAGATGGAGGTATGATGCTCCTATACGCAGTGTTGAAAGAAGTACTCAGATCCTTTACTTGAGATTATATGATCCTGTTTTTACACATGTAAGAGCATTTTAGTGTCGCAGTAAGTACATTTGGACAACATTTAGATACTGTGTAGATTAGTAGTACCGTACTGCATTATATCATATCAGCATATCATCTGTTGTTATCAGACAAAGTAACTGAGTGTTAAAATAAATGTAGTGGAGTAAAAAGTATGATATTCACCTCTGAAATGAAGTGGAGTAGAAATATAATGTAGCATTAAATGGAAATACTTAAGTAAAGTACAGATACGTCCAAAAAGTACTTAAGTGAATGTACTCAGTTACTTTGCACCACTGCCTAAATGCTTGTATGCCTTGATGAAAGCATCCTGATGTTTACATGCTTACCTTGACAACTTCCTGTCCCAGAACCCCCCCCACCACAGCGCACACTGGAGACATCTCAGAGAAGCAGTAGCTGAGGACAGACATGAACAGTGAGTCAGAACAAAGTGTGAAGTTGATGAAACGGAGAAACTTAAATCAGATAAAAAGGATTTTCTCCGTCTGGAGCGCTGTTTGTGTTCCAGCTGATGTGTTTGTTGTAAACTGTGTTACTGTGGAAGCTGTTCCGTCTCTCCGGTATTGCAATACCAGAACACAATCTCATACAAATCGGAAACATTCATTAGTGAAAGTGGGATTTTGGCCAGGACACCAAAATGAGATCAACATATTTACAATCTTCACAGTTGATTGTGTATGTGTCACCTTGGTGATCTACAGATGTGAAGCAGTCAATTGAAGCGATGACTTTGGTTGGATCCACCAAAGTCACAGAGTATCGCAGACAGATGGAGGCAGAGCAGCAACATGGGCTGCTGGGAACAATTACTGTGTCTGTGTTTGTTTAAAGGAGTCTAGAGATTTTGAAGACAACATAGATAACAGCTTCAGTAGGAAAGGGCTGTCTGATGGAAAGGTAAAGAGGTGGAAATATCATAAATATAGACAGATTTTATTTACCTCTGTTTTGGTGCTCCTGTACTTTATTCCAAACTGGATAAATGTTGCTGTATGCATGTATTTATTTATTAAGTTTAGCTGGATAAATAAACCAGACCCCGTCCCACAGGTGTTGCTGCCAACTCAACCCTGGACACACCTCTGTTATTGGGTCACAGCGAATGAATGAACCTCACTGAACAAATTTATATTTAAAATCATGGGGAAAATTGGATTATGGGTGGCTGTCCGGGGTGTGTTGCAGGAGCTTGCTGTAAACTGTGTCTACTTCAATTGAAAACAATCATTAACTTCATGTCTGAGACAATTTTCCATAAAGAATATATCTTTTAGTCAGACAATAAATACTAGGTTCAAATGACTTCAATATGAAATGTTAATGAGAATGTACAAAACTCCTGTCATCGTATGTCGGCTAATAACCCAGATTTATGCACTAAGTGTTTGGATGAGAAAGGAACGTTATTTCATTGTCTTTGAGAGTGTCCTAAATGCTAATCTTCTGGAAGGATGTTATTAGGTGTCTGTCAGAGATGTTTAACATCAAAGTCCCTTTGAACGGGAAACTTTGTGTACTTGGAATATATCCAAAGGACTTCAAACAGACTTCAGAACGGACCAAACTTTTGGACTACTGCAGGAGGGCTGTCACTCTATGTTGGAAACATGTGGATGCTCCATCTCTGAAGACTTGGTTAAAAGGGATCTTGTTGGTGTAGAACACTTACATACATCGCTAAAGGCAAGCGGAAGGACTTTGTGCAGCTGTAGGAACTGAATATGAACATTATGAGGCAAGGGAATGTGGACTGTGTCTGGAAGGGAATTGTGAAATTCTTCTTTTTTATTTATTTGATATGTATGCTATTTATTACCAGTGCAAGTTAAGGGTGTGTGTGTTTGTAAGTTTGAAGTACAAGTTTGTTTTTTATTAAAATGTTATATTAGTGTGTAGTATAAGTGAAGGCCATTAAACAAAAAAATCTAACTTTTAGAATAAAAGTGTGGAAGTGAGGAGGCGTTGTACCTGATGAAGTCATCGTTCAGCAGGTCACTCCTCACGGCCAGCGCCTCCAGCACGTCCTCTCTGATCTGTCTCAGCAGCTGGCTGTCCTCTGGGTAGGACAGGGGGTCGGGGTCACGACCTTTGTCTGTCTGGAACTTCAGCAGAACTGTGGAGACGGAGAGAAGGCACAGAAACAGACGGTTAAGAGGCTGGAAAACGAGTTAAAACATCTTCTTATGTTCCGTATAATCTATTGCACTTTTGCCATTTATAATTTCATCACGCTTTCAAGAGACTGCCACGGTGAATTATCAGCTTATGGAAAGACAACATCTTATCTCTGACACAGGATAAGATCTGTGTGTGGTTGCACCATCAACCGCTTCATCTGATTAGGCCTACGTTTCCCCACATCAAATTAAGAGCGTGCACACACAGACTCACACCTAGAGACATGCAGCCAGGCAATATTAGGTTGAGAAAGAAACATGTCTTTCGTGTCTGAGAGTCTGTTGCAGGGTTGAAGAAAATTCTGAAACAAGCACTTTATTTGATGAGAAATATTTTTAAACTGTGCACAAACACATCAACACGCCGCCCACATGTTTCCTGTTCGTCCAGTACATTAAAACCACATAAGGAAGTTGAGTCCTCCCACGACCATTTCCATCAGCGTGGCACACCACACACACACACACACACACACACACACACACACACACAAGAAGTGGCGATGAGTCACTCTCACACCTCAACTCTGCACTTTAATCAGTGTAATTTTGTTAGTGAAAGTTAAAGACTGGCACAGATGGCATCACACCAGCCAGGCAGGAAATCAAACAGAATTTCATAACAGAATATAATAATGCGCTCTTGGATGGAACAACGATGGTATCTCTAAACCTACACATGATGTATGATGCATAGACCGTCCCCAGATTAAAGTCAAGGGGAAATATTCCAAAATAGATATTCAGGGAGAGATAGTTCTGATGAGTTCTATTAAAATGTGTTTTTTTCAAAATGTGTTAAATCTCTTTCTCCTGACTGACTTATTTTACACACTGTGATAAACAAGAAAAAGGTGTTACTGCTTTTTCCAAATATTAATGTAGGTGTTGGAGCTGTATATTTAATTATGTCATTAGTAATTAAACATTAATTTTCAAGCTGTTTCCAAAGTGGAAACCATTGTTCTGTATTATTGGAATTCTACAAAATGAACCGAGGAAACGATATTCTGCCTGGACATTGAACTTTTGTCCTGCGTAAGATTTGCTTCCCCTAGCAGCAGTTATATTTAGAGTTTCATTTCTTTATTTATCCGCTACAGTAGGATTAATCTTTCCTTTCCCTTGCTGTCAACATGTCTAGTCAGGGTGTCAATTTATTAAAAAATGACAACGATCAGTGATCTGATGATACACGCCCACACGTTTCACATCACCTGACAGTTCCTCGTCAGACAGGAAGCAGTTGTAACAGAGGAAGAGCCACTTCCTCATTGGTCGGCCAAAACAAAAACCGCTGCTTCTAATTATAGAAACAGTGAGGGAATAATAACAGCGCCTTGTGTTTCACATTCACTGAATAAAACAACAACAACAACAGGCCAGTTTCCACTCAGAGGTCAGGCTGATCACAGGGCGGGGCGCACTGAAGGTCACACACTTTGGATTATAAAAATAAAAACGTAATTGAGAAAAATAAAAACTAAGTTTAACATCATAATGTAGTAAGAGCATCAACAATAAAAGTCTTCATTGGCCAGTAAAGGTTCCCTGTCAGTTTCTAATTATTATTATTATTATAAGAGTTTCTGGATTCATTTGACGTCTGCAGTGATCGGTGTCTCTAAAAATGTCTGTTTTCAGATTATTGACGATGCATTTGCCAGCTGATTTACTTAAGTACAAGTAGATCAAATATCTGAGTAAATGTGCGTAATTATATTCCAACACTGTTTAGAATAGAAGTGTACTGCAAATAATGGGTGACAGATGAGTCAGTGATGACCCCTCCTCCATGTGACCGTCTGGTAAAGATGAGAGTTCAATCTCATTCAGGTTCAGAGACTCTTCCATCATGAAACTCATTTCCAAAACTGTGGGATCAGTGAACTCCATGAAACAGAAATAGATACAAAACAAATATGTTCTTCATTCAGTGTATTGTAAAAAATGATCTGATTAAAAAAAAAGAAGAGCCTCCAAACATGTTGAATATGCCAGCATTAAAAATGTCTGTCATCAGTAACACCTGTATCGCTTCAGTCTTTGATAATACACACATACAGCTTTGTGAAAGACTAACAGGTGCCGTTTCATCTTTTACACATGACATGAATGTTTCACTTATTACATTATATTATGCATTTGTCTGGAGGCTGATGTGTTTTTTTAATCTAGCTGAAGTTTGGATACACTAAAAGACACATTATTCTAATATATTAGGGCTGGGATTATCTAAATAATTGTTAGTAATTATTTTTAAACGATTAGTTGATTTAATTAAAGTTCAGTGAATCTGAGGATTCCACAGAATCACCACTTTATATCTGATATTTACCAAAGAGATGTGCTCATATTTTTCCATGGAAATAAATAAATCAGCATTAAAAAAAGACAAATCAAAAAATGGAAAAAGTTTTTACAAGAAAAAACTTGAAATGCATCGACAGGTGAGACTGTGTCATCTTATCCGTTAATGAATGGATTTTTTAAAGGAGTGTTTTCAATCTAACTCATGTTAGTTAACATACTCTTACTCATTTAATATCAATCTTTTCTACTGTTGATATGTATGAATTTGCTGATTCATTTTGATATTTCTAACTCATGTTAACCACATGCTGCTGTGACAAATAAAATCAATAAATAAAGTAAAGTATATACATCTAATCTAATTAGAGAGTAATATTTGTAATAATATTAAACGTTTAAATATGATACACACTAGTAGAACTTAACTTTATTTTATAACTTGTGACCTATGCATCCTGCCAAAGTTTAAAACAATGATATTATTAATAACAATCATGCAGGGAAATGCTTTGATAAATCAGTGTGTGTGTCAGGGTACTTCCTGCTGTGGAGGTAGGTGTCAGGCTGCTCTCTACGCTCAGTGCACATGACTGGCCATGGACAGCCTGTGATGGAAACTAGTGTGTGTGTGTGGAGTGTGTGTGGAGTGTGAGGATGGAGCAGGGCCAGGTGACGGGAGGGACAAAAACAACTCTTTAAAAGGTCATCAGACACGTTAATAACCTGAAAAACAGGAAGGTACGTTCAAGATTTACTTATAGGCTCAAAAGGTTCCTAAACACGTCACAGACTGTTCTTCATGTGCAGCTCAGCGTACCAATATATATATATTTCTTTTACCAAACTGGTTATTGAATTGGTTATGAAACAGCGTTCATCTTCTCTCTGGAATGATATTTATTCATGAAATGATCAGCTAAATCAGAACAGGTGACTTTGCATGTGCGTGGGGTTTCAGTCTTGTCGCAGGATTCCTACACATTTTCAGTTTCAAATTTCTAATCTCTTTTAGACCTTTCAGAATATGTGTTGTATTTGATCAATTCTCTGTATGGAAATTCTGTTGTGTCCTGCCTCCTACACAGGAAGGTCAGAAGACTTACAAATAGATGTTATCACTTTCCATAAAAACATCATCTGAGAGTAAAGTTCCTTATAATATCTTCACAAAGTCCTGAAAGTGTTTTATTATTAGTTATTATATAGCATAATATTTTAGACAATTAAAGATAGTGACTACATTTGAAAAATATCACCAATAAATAATTTAGCAATTTTCAAATGTCAATCTCCTTTTTTAAACCTAGAAAAATCGATATTTTGGGGTTGCAATGACTTATAGTATCCACTATCTAATAGTTAGACTGATGACATTTTCATCTTATTAGGTTGTTGTCTGGAGGCGGCAGTGGCTCAGTCTGTAGGGACTTGGTCTTGGAACCAACCGGTTCAAGTCCCGATCGGACCAAAAAAAGATAGAGTGAGCTGGTAGAGGTGCCAGTTCTGTCCCTTGAGCAAGGCACCTAACCTGGATCTGCCAGCCTCTCTGCTCTGCCACCTCTCCTATCTGCATGTGGTTGTGTGTGTGTGTGTATATATATATATATATATATATATATATATATATATATATATATATATATATATATATATATATATATATATATATATATATATATATATATATATATATATATATGTGTGTGTAATGTGGACAAACTGAGTGGAGAAAGAAATGTCCCTGTAAGGGATTAATAAAGAATGTATTCTTCTTCTATTCAAATAAAACGAAACCCATCAGCAGTAACTAGAGGTTAAATGTGAAAATCTGATTATGATCAACAGAATAATGATTTCTACTAGCACTCTTTGTGAGATGCTGCTCTAAGCACCTTGAAGCAGGAAGTAGTCCACTGGGGTCTTCTTCATCCCGGCTTTGGCCTTCTCCGTGGTCCAGTCCACCTCCAGAGCCTCCTTCAGGGTGCAGTAAGAGGCCGTCTGGTGGGGAGAGGTTTTTAAAAAGTCAGGTAAACAGGAGGAGAACCATCATCTTAATAACAAAATAAGGTCTGCCGGTCATTTGATGAGGGGAAACTATTTAGTTGTGTAGATTACTGTATGTGAGCCCTTTACAAACTAGAAACAACAGAAAGCAATACAAAAATAGCATTTATTTTTAGAAATGTGAAAAGACGACACTTTTTTCCATTCTGTGTAACTTTACAATAAGTTCTACTCCTATCTTCACATTTCTTAGACAAACCCCATTTAAAGGATGTCATTTCATTTATCACTCTTGTTGTTCCATTAAACCCAATAGATGGAACTCATCTTTATGCATGGCTCATTTTTTAATCTTTTGGCTTAAAGACTAAAACATATTTTTACCTTTTTCACCATGGTGGTCTCGTTGGGGTCCACTTTTGCTTTCTTGGCCTCTGGACCATCGCTAGAACTCGGTTTAACCAGTTTTGGTTTCTCCCTAAAGTAACAGAGTGAAGAGAAAAATATCTTACATATCAGAAAACTGAACAGTCAGTTTTATATTCCATATCAAGCTCATTGAAAGGTTCCTCTGTACATGACATACAAGCAACCTGTTAGTTCAGTTTGACTGCAGCGAGAAGAAGACATGTCATGAAGCTGGTATGTGACAATAATTAAAATTCCCAAATGAAATCCATGCCACCATATAAGATAAACATGTATTAAACCATTTCACAAACATTCCACTTTCACCAAACTTAAACCCTATTTTAACTCAACTAATATATTGCTTTTCCATTTAATCATATGTGTAACTAAAAACGAATCAAAAGCAACGTTAAACTATGTCATGTCATCAATCATTAGAATGGATCTCCCAATGGAATCAGTGCAGAGAGTAAAACACTGCACTACTAATGCAGCAGTGTTGGGCTGAATAATGAAAACATATTCAATATGACATACTTGATAGTAGAGATGTCCCGAGCCGATCACGTGATTTTCCAAAAATCGGGGATCGGAATTTTTTTTTTTTTTAATAAAATATTTTTCTTATTTTATTTAATGTTACAAAACAAAAATGACCATGTTCACGTCTTAAAGTCATCCTGAGGCCTTAGTTTTGGTTTAAAATTACACAACATCATGTATGTGTTGCTTCTTTTGGGCTTGTTTTCATAGACCTGGTTGCTTATTTCTCTCAAATCTGGCAACAGAGTGGGCGCAGTGTCTAATAGTAGCAGTAAGCTAACGAGAGGCTACGTTCAGCTGGTGACTCGGGACAGAGAAAATGTCAGGAGTTTGGAAGTATTATAAAATTGAAAGCGAAGGCAGTGTAACAGCCAGATGCAATGTTTGCAAGGCGGAGGTTCCGCGTGGTGGAAAGAACAGAGCTACGTTCAACACGACCAATCTAATACGCCACCTGAGAAACAAACACCAACAACAACACAACGAGTACACAGCGGCCACTCAGGTAACGGCACTGAAACAACCGACACTTTCAGAGACTTTTAAAAGGAAAGAGAAACTGCCCCAGAACAGTGAAAAGGCCAAAAAAATAACAGCCAAGATAGCTGAATTCATCGCGTTGGATGACCAGCTGTTATCTGTGGTGGAGAACGTGGGGTTTAAGGGACAACTTGAATGCTTTTCTCCTTTTTTTTCTCTTAATGCATTGCATAAAGATCGGATCGGGAAAAATCGGTATCGGCAGATTGTCAAAATCAAATGATCGGAATCGGATCGGGAGCAAAAAAAGGTGATCGGGACATCCCTATTTGATAGCATTTAATATACTGCATTTTCAATATATGAAATCTTTTCCTAGACATCAAGGCTCAGTACCAGTAAAGACATACCATTTAAAAAATGTTTTTGGTAATCAAATAGACAAATAAAAATAATAACACCTACATATGGGCCTATTTGTGAGCCAATATAAAGCTGGTAAAAAAGTGTTGTTGTCAGCTGGAAGTAGGCACTGGCCTCCTCCGTTTATTATGTCCTGCAGAATTACTATAACAAAATCACCCAGCGCTACTGCAGTGCTCTCGAGCAAGGCACTAATACCGGGCAGCTCCAGATGAGGAAACCGTTTACACCCACTTCGAATGGTCGCCCACACTTACTCGACGTAGTTGTGTTCCTTTCCCAGGTTGCAGAACATGTAACCATAGTAACCGTAGACGTCCCCACAGAAGACCTTGATGTTGTGCTTGGAACAGAGCTGGTCCACTCTCACCATCAGGTCTCTGGAGCAGCCTGTCAGACACACCTGAGGGAGAAGACACCGTCAGAGTTCTGCTGATCAGACATGGACTACCAGTACTACCAGACATCCATCCAACATCAAAAACGTTTTTGTGACAGTGACCTTTGACCACCAAATTCTGCTCACCTTTTCCTGAACGTTTCTGACAAATTTAAAGAAATTCCCTCTAAAGCATTCCTGAGATATTCCCCTTACGAGAATGGGAATGAACGTGCGGGCCCTCCAAAAAACGTAATTTTAATCTGATAAGTACTGTTTATATATTTGTTTTGAGCTTTACCTTTCAGCACCTTTACTCTCTTAAAAAGAAACATGTATGAGACTGGGATGGCACCTTCTCCCTCTCGGTCTTTGTGCTGTAATGTGCTCATTTCCATCCTCATTAACATAACACTGAAACTGCTAGCAATAAAGCAAAATATCAAAACAAATGATATTTCTGCTACACTGTCTTAATTTTGATCCCTAAGGGACTTTTACTTCTGAAATTCTTCAGTAAGTTTGCATTTGGTCTGAGTTCAGTACATTGAATAAATGACCAAACAATGGTGAAGCCAACAATCTGCCATAGTAACACCATGGTGGGCCGGTGTGACAGCTGACCGGGGGGCTGGGTCCTCATCCTGCTGACCCAGTCCAGCACTATCTCTCCAGACTCATAACCTGATCCTGCATCTGAGACCCTGCAGGGCAGCCAGCAGACCAGGGTCAGGGTCCAGACAGAGGGTGAAAAGAGGTGCTGCAGCACAGGCAGTATGATAAAAGTAGAGACACTAAATACTGATATACACCTGGACATTTGCACAATATGTCCTCTTTTGGAAAAATATATAAAGTTGTTGGCCTGCCATGTTTTTTGTGTGGTATTTGAAGCTCCTTCTTGCAAGAAGAAACAAAAATGAACCACAGCAGAAAAAAATGATAATTCAACTTTAAATAGGTCAGCCATACCCAGAGAGACAGTATGTGTTTAACTGTTGTTTGTCACTGCTCAGTAATTAAGCCTCTCATATGAACACTCTTGTACTGCTCCACTTTATTCTCTGCTCACAGACACATCCCTGGAAGTAGATTAAAGTGATGCCTGGTCTACAGCAGGCAGGCAGGGAGAGGGAGAGGGAGAGGGAGAGGGAGAGAGAGAGGGAGAGGGAGAGGGAGAGAGGGAGAGAGAGACCCCCCTCTGTTTCCCATTTCTTATTTTATCCCAAGCTTTTTTAATTGTCCTTCTTTCTATTCTCCAAGCCTCTCATCCTCCCTCCCCGTGTCCTACTAACATCCCTCTCATCCCGCGCTCACTTCACTGTCCTCCGCCTCCCCCCCTCCTGCTGACCCTCCCCTGACTGCCCCAGAGGGAGCAGCCTGCTGATAATTCAGACAGAAAGGGAGGATGAAAGATGTCCGTCATTCCTCTGAAGGTGTTCAAATACATTCAGTAGCGACACAACTTGAGATGTGCGTATAGCTGCCTGTGGAAATCAATGCAAATGACAACCCTTCATTTCTCAGTCTAAAGTTCAGACTGAGAAATTAACAATAAATGACAATAAACTTTAACAAACAGTAAGATTATATTTGAGTTGTTAAACCAGTAAACCTATCTGCTGGTTTAACAACTCAAATATAATCTTACTGTTTGTTAAAGTTTATTGTCATTTGGTTTAGTCATGTTTTACCATGGATATAACATGTAGGAATTAAAGTCCTACTACAGGGCATTTAACCCATCATCCTGCCATTCACACAGCATCAGATATGTAACATAAATCCTTTTGCCATTTTCTTATTTCATCTGCGTCAGGCAAATCAATCACAAAATCCAAGTATGTCCTGCAGCCAGAGTTTGAGATATTTTGTATTCTCGTCAGCCACTTCTATCCTTGCGTTTTAAATCCTTGCCCAATGTAAGGTGGTGTTAAAGAAAAAATGAATATATTACAAGATGAATTAAATCTTTTCAACATGGTGAGTGTTCTCCACAGCCCAGATACAATAATGACTCACTTTACACTGATTTGACTTTCCCTAGCGCAGAAGCCTCGTTATCATGACACTACTTTAGAAGCAAACCAGGCGCGGCTGGCATTACTGCAGTTTACAAGCATGTTAGAGAACTACACTGACCTTCAACTAACTTGAAGTAAACGGTTATACTTGAAGTAAACGGTTATTTTGTGTTTTTTACTGTAATTATTATTGAGTGTTCTTGTATTTTAATGTGTTATTTTATACCTCGGAACTGCGGGAAACAGTATTTCGATCTTTCTGTGTGTACAAAGATATTTTGAGATTGACAATGAAGTTGACCTAAAAACCTAAATCTTCCACGTACAGTTAGTCTGCTTAGAGCGACTGATAATGCAGCCCCTATAGAAGTCCTCCAGGTGTTTTGCTCCTGGAGCCTGACAGAAGAACAGGGAGAGCTTCATGTATGATCGGTGTGTACATTCCACCACATGCGAACGTGCAGGAGGCACAGCGCACACTCGCCGACCAGATACTGTGTGTGGAGAGGACTTATCCGGACTGCCTAGTTATTGTTCTTGGTGACTTTAACAAAGGCAACCTCAGCCACGAACTCCCAAAATATAAACAGTTTATCAAATGCCCCACCAGACAGGGGAACATATTGGATCACTGTTATTCCACCATCAAGGGAGCCTACCACGCCGCCCCCCGCGCTGCATTGGGCCACTCTGACCACACCATGGTTCACCTGATTCCTGCATACAGGCAGAAACTCAAACCTGTAGTGAGGACATTCAGGCAGTGGAGCAGTAAAGCGTGTTTGGACTGTACTGACTGGGACATGTTTAGGACTGCAACGCAAAGTCTGGATGAATATGCAGAGGCTGTGACATCATACATCAGCTTCTGCGAGGACAGCTGTGTACCAACACGCACCAGGGTGAGTTTCAACAACAACAAGCCCTGGTTCACACCAAAACTGAAACAGCTAAGATTGCAAAAAGGAGGAGGCGTTTAGGAGTGGCAATAAGGCACGTTTTAGAGAGTCGAAGTACGTCTTTGGCAAGGCGGTGAGAGATGCTAAACGACAATACTCTGAGAAGCTCCAACAGCAGCTCTCAGCAAACGACTCTGCTTCTGTCTGGCGTGGACTCAGGCAGATCACAAACAAGACAAAAGCCTCCCCTCCCATGAACGACCGACGCCTTGCAAACGATCTGAATCAGTTCTACTGCAGATTTGAAGACATTAGGCGCGTTCACACCGCAGTACTTTTCACCGTACTTTTCGCGTTTAGTTCCGTTAGTACCCCTTATGTCGCGTTCACACCAAAAAGAGCACTTAATCTCGGGAACTTTTATCCCCATTTTTAGTGCCTGCTGAGAGATGGTACTTTCCTGGGGGAAAAAGTGTCCCAGTTCTGATTGGCTGGGCGAATTGCAAACCACGCCCCGTACAACTCTGAAATGTTTTGTAGAGCCGCCATTTTATTATCCTGGCATTAGCATTATTAGCATTAGCATTCGCCCAGCGCACAAACGCAGAGAGACTAACTTATGGCAACACAAAATAAAACGTGGGAGCGGTGGAGATGAGGAGGTGTCGGCGTTCTGGCGATTTACTCGGAAGGCTTCAGTAGAAGCTGCTGGGAGTCCCAGCAGCTTCTACTGAAGCCAGTCCCCAACTCCGGGGACTTCCGGCCGGGGACACAGGGTGGCAGTATACGCCGTGAAGTTGTTTGCGGCCTGCCAGTAAACCCAAAGCAGAAGAAGACGAAGTGAAGTCAGCGGCTCATTTGCGTAATCTTCCCTCAGGGAATTTATTCCGGTGTGAACGCGATCTGTACTAAGTGCCCTGGGGTAATAAGTGCCGGGGCACTGAGTGCCGGCACTGAGTACGGCAAAGTACTTGGTGTGAACGCGGCTAAAGAGTTCAGTCCTGACACCATCCCCCATGACACCTCCCAACAGCCTCAGTCTCACACCTCCTCATCCCCCTCCCCTTCAGTGTCCCACTCTCCTACACCACTGCCCCCCCCCGACACATCAGACTCTCTCTCAATCAATGAAAGGGATGTAAACAGACTTTTCAGAAAACTTAATACCAGAAAAGCGGCTGGCCCTGACAATGTCTCCCCCTCCACCCTGAAGCTCTGTGCTGATCAGCTGTCTCCTGTGTTTAGCCTCAACAATCATCCCGGTTCCCAAGAAAGCAAGGATCACAGGACCAAATGACTACAGACCCGTCGCCCTGACCTCTGTGGTTATGAAGTCCTTTGAGCGCCTTGTCCTGTCCCACCTGAAATCCATCACAGACCCACTCCTGGACCTCCTGCAGTTCGCCTACAGAGCCAACAGGTCTGTGGACGACGCTGTCAACATGGCCCTTCACTTCCTCCTCCAGCACCTGGACACACCAGGAAACTACGCAAGGATCCTGTTTGTGGACTTCAGCTCCGCCTTCAACACCATCATCCCGGCTCTGCTGCAGGACAAGCTCTCCCAGCTGCACGTGCCCGACTCCACCTGCAGGTGGATCACAGACTGCCTGTCTGACAGGAAGCAGCACGTGAGGCTGGGGAAACACATCTCTGACACCCGGACCATCAGCACCGGTTCCCCTCAAGGCTGCGTTCTTTCCCCTCTGCTCTTCTCCCTGTACACCAACAGCTGCACCTCCAGTCACCAGCCTGTCAAGCTCCTGAAGTTCAGACGACACCACGCTCATCGGACTCATCTCTGGTGGGGACGAGTCTGCCTATAGGTGGGAGATGGACCATCTGGTGTGGAGAAAACCACCTGGAGCTAAACGCTCTCAAGACAGTGGAGATGGTCGTGGACTTCAGGAAGAACGCAGCCCCACCCGCCCCCATCACTCTGTGTGACTCCCCAGTAACTGCTGTGGAGTCTTTCTGCTTCCTGGGCACCATCATCGCCCAGGACCTCAAATGGGAGCAGAACATCAGCTCCCTCATCAAAAAAGCACAGCAGAGGATGTTCTTCGTGAGGCAGCTGAAGAAATTCAACCTGCCAAAGACGATGATGGTGAACTTCTACACCTCCATCATGGAGTCCATCCTCACCTCCTCCATCACCATCTGGTACGCTGCAGCCACAGCCAAGGATAAGGGCAGGCTGCAGCGTGTCATCCGCTCTGCAGAGAAGGTGATCGGCTGCAATCTGCCATCCCTCCACCACCTGCATGCCTCCAGGACCCTGAGGCGGGCAGGGAAGATAGTGGCCGACCCCTCCCACCCCGGACACGAACTGTTCGCCCCCCTCCCCTCTGGCAGGAGGCTGCGCTCCATCGGGACCAAAACCTCACGCCACCTGAACAGTTTCTTCCCCTCCGCTACCGGCCTCTTAAACAAGGCCCGGCCCCCCCCACAGATACTTTACCTCCGCCACATTATAGACTATATGCATTACATTAATGGACACAATGTTCCTACTCCTTTCTGCACATATTCTGATTTCACATTTCTTAGTTTATATGCAAAAATTCATTCATAGTATTCTATTTCCATGTAAACTACTGCTTTATTTATCTTATTGCTATTTAACTATTTTATTACGGTGTAAAAAAGATTTTGTGTTTTATATTAGATTTCTTGTTTTTTATATTTTATGTATGCACCATGACATCAAGTCAAATTCCTAGTATGTGTGAACCTACCTGGCTACAGGAGACATCTAGTGGCAGAGGAGAGGGATACAAATCTGGGTGCTAATATACAGTATCCCAAGAGGAGGTAAATCTTCAGCAAACATACTTTAAGATGTTTTTAAAAGCAACAGTATTACAAATTATTTAGCTTTTTAAAAGCTAATGTACCTGCAGGATCATTGCTGCTCTGAATTTGTATCCTAAATGGTTGATTGCACTTAATGTAAGTTGTTTTGTATGAAAGCTAAATGAAAGTGAAATCTTTCTGATTTCAAGAAAATCCAGAAAGGCTGGACTTTCACTTAATGTGAACTTTTATGTTGAATAAAGTTTTTTGCAAAAATGCATGCAGTGAGGAAGAATTAAGAATTATCAGTGTTTTAATTCTTCGTTCATCATGGTGGCATGCAAAAATACAAAGTGTTCTTCAAGAATTCAAGCTTACACAAGGTGAGCAATTGATAAACAAATGGTCATTGTGGCGTGTATATTCTAAAGTCAAATCATACAGCTTAGCTCTGTAATGTCCCATTCATTTGCTGACACTTTAACATTTCAATAAAGCGCGTTTTAGATAACCAGTCAATATTTGAATTACTTGAATAAAGTGTAGTTTCCACTCACCGCATCGAACTGCAGGAAGAAGTTATCTGGTTTGTCTTGAATCCTGTCTTGGTCTGCGTGGACCTGTACCATTGGGTTGAGGTTCTGTCCCCGCTCCAGAGAGGCCTGGGCCCGGTTCTGACCCTGAGCCGTCACCGGGACTAGGAACTGAGCTCGACATGACTCCTCTGACACCTGGTGGGTGGACGGGTGGACAGGGACAGACACACAGACACACAGACAAGAGCAGAGTGAGGATCATGCTGGATGAATTTTAGCTGAAGATAATTTACTGTGTGAACATTTATCTCCACTGGATATGTTCTTTTACAAAATATAGTCTTAAATAGTGATCAAGTACTAGGCTGTAATCAATTCAAAATGTGAAACGAAGCCAGAACGAAGTCGTTATTGAAATATCATCACTGTAAAAATTATTTAAAATAGCTGTTTTGCTTTCTTACTAAAAGTTCAAATCATTACTTTGCCAGTGGCCCCATCTAGTGGACATACAGTACTACAAAGGCTGAAGGGGCCGCATAAGGCCCATTTACTATTCCAATATTTCTATGAGTTATAGATATACTTTATAACACAGGTTTTGAACTGATACCTGAATATAAAGTAGGCTCCGTTTAGTGAGCTGTACTGAGCACAAGGCAAACACCTGAGCATGTTTTTATGAGTTTACTTTATGAGCATCTGTACCTGTTCATGGTCCAGCAAAGTGAGTCCTTTAACTCCAGCCAGGATTAAATTCTTGGCCACTTCGGCCCCCAGACCACCTAATCCTGCCAGGAGCACACGGGACCCACGCAGTCTGTAAAAAGCAAACAAACATGCAGACTGAATATCGTGCTGATAAAATCAGATGTGATTTTGTGCTATATGGGTTGTGCTGTGTGTTATTAATCAATTATTTCAACTCTTTTTGAAGTGCAGGTCTCATTTAAGAAAAATAAACTGTGCAAGTCTTCTTCGCTGCTTTTGTGGCAGACTACAGCGCCACTTAAAGGCCTGGCATATGTACTACAGCGTCTCCAACGCTTTCGAGCGGCAATGGCCGGCCGTGGCCCAACCCCACATTCCCCTGATAGGTGGAGAGTTGCATTTTGCAAAATACACTTTTGTACGTCTTTTATACATGAATATGTGTCCCCGGTGTTCCAGGGAACTCACCAAGTGTCAGAAAACACAACCCTCTCTATTTTCCTCCATACCCAAATCTCTAAAAAAAAGGGGCTGCAACGGATCTGATAAAAACTGATCCAGATTTGAACACTGTCCTGACGTCAGGACAGTGGCGCTACGGCTATTGGGCCAACTCCACCAATCAGGAGGAGACAGCCACGGCCATTAACGTTCGAAAGCGCTATAGTACATATGCCAGGCCTGTAGATGGTGCTGTTCTCACAGAATCAGCCCTTGCAAAAACAGAGCTAAAAAATGTCAAATTGAGCAAAATGAGGCATGGCTAAAATGCATGATCTGTTTGGTATTTTGAAGAAAAAAAAAGTATAAATATGCCTTATATAGGTATGGTCCTATACTATATTATTCAAATATAGCATGATAGGTCCACTTTAAGTAAAAATAGAAGTACCAGAGTATAAGAATACTGTGATACAATAAAAGTCCTGCATTCAAAATGTTATTCCAGTCAAATTAAAAAAGTATTAGCATCAAAATATACTCAACGTACCAAAAGTAAAAGTAGTCAGATTGGTCCTTTTCAGAATAATATATATGATGTATTTTATAATGATTGATCATTAAAGTGTTCTCAAAGCTGGTAAAGGTGCAGCTACTGTAGTTTGAATGACTTTGTATACTGCAGGGTAGCTTGTGAATTTACTCCAGGTGGAACTAAAGTCTGATTTAACACTTGATTATATTTCACATCATTCATCCACATCTGTAAAGTAACTTAAAGTATTAAATAAATGGAGTGGGGTAAAAGTACAACACTTACCTCTGAATTGTAGTGTGGTAGAAGTACAAAGTAGCAACAAATGGAAATTCAAACTCAAGTAAAGTACAAGTACCTCCAAAAGTACAGTGTTGCATTGGTACTTTTATCTTGATGTAACATTTTCAATGCAGGACTTTTACTTAAAGTAGGGTCAAAACAGTGCAGTTAAAAAAGTATAAATTGCAAGATGTTCTTTTAACACGAAATAGCCTAGGTAGGAAATCACAAGCAAAGAACAGTGGAAGATACTTTTTTTTCCTCGGTTCCGAGGATATACTTTCACATTATAATTTCACATTTAAATGGAAGACTTCTTTTTGTAGTAAAGTATTTATACAGTGTGATATTAGTAGCTTACGTCTGACGTCAATAAGTAACATTTTACAGATCTGATGGTGAATGGTTCCCTCATCACCACTGATAGACAATGCAAAGATCCCGACCTATAAGTATAGATATTCTAAAAGAGTACTCCAAACAGTGGCTACTCCAATGAGGAAAAATCCCAATGGGCCCCACTTTTTTGTAAGATCAACGCTTTGGTAAAAGGAGCAAAAGTGCATCAACTGAAACCTTCGGCTGCACAGATTAGCCTGACATGCTAACGGAGCTAACTGACCTCTTCTGGGCATCCAGCCCCCACAGGCGGATCTGCCGGTCGTACTGCGCCGCCTCCTCCTCGCTGATGACCGGGTCCTCCTTCTCGATCATATCGATCATATTTGGTCACTGCGTATACGGGGGTTACGGTGTAAATGAGCTTTGCTCAATGCAGCTAGGTATAAGGATGTTTAAAATGCCGCGACAGTCCCGCTGAATGGGCGCTGGATGATGACGTCAGTAAAACAAAACAAAAGATGTGTTTTCTCGAATTCTATTTCATGGATTTTCAGCTTATCTTGTGGTTCTCGATTTGTTTGTGTCATACGTTCCTCCGAATTTTATATCAGACATTATTGTGTTTTGGTTTAATGGTTTATATTTATTTGTAAAGTTGTTTACAGTCCTAGAAACAGCAAGGAACTTATTTCGATGTTGCTGGTTTGTAATTAATGCATCGGCCACTGCAACAATACAATCTACATTTAAGCATGAGTGTAAGGTATGTGAAATATTAGACCATTTTGAACAACAAATATTGTAAAAAATAAGTCCTAAGTGATGACAAAGGGCAAAAGTTAAAAACAAAGAAACAATAAAGGTTATTTAATTCCATGACAGAATTATGCATAAAGGAAATTAGATAATTACCCAAAGAAATATATATATATAAACCCCCTGAAAGAGGTTAACTTAATCCGATATAATATTAAGGGAGCAAAAATTAAGTAATGTTTAAATATGTAGGCCTGGTTCTGTTTGTTACCAAGTGCTACCATCAAGAGCTCAGTCTGTCCATGTCTAGGCATTGATGTTAATGAAATAAGTGAGTTTCTGATGTGACATTGATTATAAGAAATGAATACTATATCCAACAAGCCAATGTCCAATAAACAGGCAAGGCTGACATATAGGTACATTCTTATTTGGGTACAGTCTTTGAAACTATACAGCCATTTTCGAACATTATAAAACGTTTGTGGCTTTATAGACAACATTTCTTCAACCAAAACAGCAGTGAATGTTGGAGTATGGAAGCAGCACAAACAGTTTCCCATCTTAGAAAAAAAGTACAGAAGTGAAAATATATACATATATTAAAAAAACATATACAAATATATGTTTGTGGTAAACAAGGGTACATTAATTGCAAAGTAAATGCACTGTTATTTAAGAACAATTAATACATTATACTTAATAAATACATTTATCATTATCAACATGCATATACATTTACTAAATGCCAGTTTACATGTAGTTATAAATAAATTATTTAATTTATTTATGTATATTTCATTCCTTATTTAAACTATTTACAGGCTGGAAAGTTACAGGCTTCAGTTACGTAAACAGACCTACAAAGACAGTTAATAAAACAGTTAGTAAAGGTAAAATAAGTTAAAGTTACAATTCAAATGTTAAAGACAATTTACACTTAAATGTCTTAGTAAACTGTGATTCTTGAAATATCATGTATGCCATTACTTGCGCTACAGCTGCACTTTCGAGTCAAACCCGGGGGCTCATTTTACCCTGTGAGTATCTTTACTCGGTAATTTCCGTGAGACGCGAACAAGAACGTCCTTCGTCGTTACGTCATCCTCGGAGAAACCCGCCTCGCTTCTCTTAGGAGAAGACTGTCGGCCATTTTAAGTTCATCAGTCGTCATTTCACATCGCAACTGTAGGACGGAGAACGTCAGGACTCAATTTCATCATATTTCTCTTACAACTGTAGTGGAGCATTGCCTACTATGAACTAAAACTCTTCCTAAAATCAAATCAAGTAGATCATAGTGAAGTGACGCATAAGCCAGTAGATTCCAGTGTCGAGTTGTAATTTTTTGCACCTCAATGTAGCTAGAGGAAATGGCTGTGGAAAGCATGACTGTCCATCCAAACTCCCCAACTACCAACCACGAACACAACAGTCTCCTGACTGACGAAAGGTCGAGTAATTCTACAATCATATTTAAATGAATTTATTTATTTGTCCTGTGCTTTTACACAAAAAGCCCGGGGTTTCTTTTTCTTTTTCTGTCAAAGGGATTAAACTCGCCTTTTCTGGAAAACGAGTACAGAGGTAAAGAACGCCATGTTGACACGACACCGCCAACTGGGAGGCCAAATAGCACCTGGGATAACGTTATTGTTCCCTCTATTTTATTACGTTTTCACAATCAACGATCATTCGACTCGGCCAACTGGTCAGAAGATAAAAAAGGAGGTCGAAACAGCTGATTAACCCAACGTTCACCGTCATTCTAGCCAATTCAACGGTTATAAAACATCGCTTAGTTACTAGCCCCATTTAAAGAACAGACAGCTTATTTAGCTTTTAATTAAATTAACTGTGTGTGGTGATAATAACTATATTGCCGCAGATGCCAAACAATCCAAGCGATTGTCTTCCGCTAACGTTGGGCCTATTTTGAGGCTAACTTAGCAACATTAGCTTTTTGGCTAATGTGACCAACTTACAGTTGGAACGAAATGCTAAGCTAATGGCTAATGTTTTGTTATTCGTGGTTCTTAAACATTGACGTTTTCAAATATCTACATCTTCGAATCAAACATAACGTTAACTAATTCGTTCATTTCGCATAACTTAAACGTTACGATATTACGAAGCATGTCCCGTAATTAGCCCTAACGTTGCGCACTTAAAAATAGCCATATCGAGTCGTCGTCTTTTAACACTTATAACATAAGAAGCTTATTTTAGCCCTCAGTTCCCCTTAGACGATTGTGTCTTTCCCCACGTCTTAATGGTTACTTATCTTCAAATGTCAAAGTAATCATCAAAGTATTTATTCATAATTTGTGTAGCCTTTGAAACGCGTATGTGCTGCCTGCTGTCATTGATATTTGTTTAACATCAGTTTTATTCACAGTCGTGCCCACACTGACTCGTCCCAAAAATCCACAAAAGTCCCCAAAAGTGTGTAAAACGTCTGCAAAGCATCCCAGAAGTGTTTAAAGTCAAACACAAAGTTCCCTTTTTCCACCTCCCCAGTTGGCAAAAGTACAGTATGGTAATCAGTTGGCCCCATTTACCAGTCCCACAGACCCCAATAGTGTCCCTAAAAGGTTAGGGAAAAGTTTTTCAATGGTTTTGAGCGCAAAATGTGAAGGAACCCAGTCACAGTAAGTATTCCCCATTTTAATCATGGCCCTTTGCTTATAGAGATAAGTTACAATCTCATACACAGAGCTAATAATGTACCATAATGCATGGTTAAGCATTTTGATTGAATCATCCTTAATAGATGGTATTAATCCTGTTCTCGACATTTTCAGAACTTCTAACAGTTGTCTTCTGGTAGTGAAGGTTCAGAAATGTTACCATTTGTTTGATCTAGTGTTAATGGATATACATGGAATTTAGTTTGGTATAGACTATGTGGATAACAGATCTGGAATTCAATGTACTTAGTTGTCAGATACTTGTTTAGGGTTAAAGTTAACATCAGTTAAGCCTGTGTTTCTTTCAGCTCTGTTAAACACATGTTTTGTTGGTAGATATTAACTCTTAAAGTCTACTGGCTGGACGTGCTAGTTTTGTGGCTGAGCACAGAGAAATGTAGATTGACCTTGTTTGCATTGTACGTTTTTCTGGTCGTCGTTGGCAGCAGGTAATGTGTGTATAGTATCACATCAGGCCAGACAGGCCACCAGTTTCTGCCTGTAGAGAATCCTAGCCCCTCCCTGTTCATAAAACCTGCTTCAGTAATACAGCATAATCCGGTGTCCATTGTGACAGGTCTGTGTCAGACTCCAACAGATTGTGGTTAATGAGCCGGCTTCATAGCATGTCAGTAGTGAGGTAGAGGAGTTACTTGGCTCTTGAGATGATACTCATGAGTTTGTGATGTTTAAGGCGGGAAGATCAAAAGTTAACCAGTTGCTGCAATGATCAAATACACAATCTGAGACTAAGTTTTTGTATTGACCTCCAATGTGTCCAACAATTTCCTAGATTATGTTAGACATCGATATAACATAGAGCTGATCACATTATTATGTTTATGGAGCAACGCCAATTTTTGCTGTGTGCTAATAATAACAGGTTAACTAAACAATCTGGATTCCGTTGCTGTTTACAACCCCCAACTACCTTAAATCTGAAAGAAGATAATCTTTGTTTTAAGTCTATCATAGAATTTGGTCAATTTGCCTTGTGGAGCAGCAGGTTTCATTCTCTCTGGATTAGTCTCAAAATACTTTTACAAGTGGACCTCTGATAGGGCTAACGAAAACATGTTGAACTATTGATTTTACAAATTCTGTATTTTTTGACAGAATGTTGCTCACTTCAAATACGTGTTGGGTAGTTCCTAGGACTTAATAGCATTCATTGGTAGTTGGATACCAGTTTGTGTATGGCTGTATGGGCATGGCTGTATTGCTCTAGCAGATGAACAATTTGTTTGTGAAGGAAATGAATCACAGATATTGAGTCTGATTATTGAGATCTCCTCCCTCAGAGGAAGCTGGCACGCTGAGGATGTGGTGCGGAGCATCGTACACACTAGCTGACATTTGCCTCAAAGCTAAACCCACAGCCCGCTTGTCTCATCCACTATATGCTCCTTATAGGACAGAACCAGTCTTTGAGTATTCAAATATTGCATACTAACAACACTTGTTCGAATCACTCAGGCCTCTCTCCCAGCCTTCCGCACACAGCAGTTATCAGCTTACCTTGGGTGTTAGTCTGTGTGGGACAGCCCAACGTGTCTCTTTGTTAGTATAATGTACCCCTAGCTTGTGTCATTAATCATATAACATCCGAGGGATTGAACACAGCAGACAAAACAGTAACCCATATAACAATGTCAAGAATCTTTACAGTTAATGGTTGGTTGTGATCAAGTGTATGGCATATTTTCTTAGAAAAGGGTAGCCTCCTGGTAGGGAAGAAAAAGTCCTGGATCCAAAATGCTGAAGATTTGTATGTCAAACCATCACTTCTATTTGATTTTGGATTAAAAGCAGTGCAAAGCGTTGGTCTAAATTGAATACTTTCCCATTGTGTAGCTTAAATTAAGCATGTTGCCTTTCTGTATTAATACACTGTTGTCTCTTTAGCATGTCCCCCCCTTTCTTCAACTAGCCCATAGCCACCAGTCACTGCAAAAGGCCTGCATGTGATCAGGGTCAATTAGGGTCTCATGGTCTGAGTCTGGCAGTTGACCACAGTAACATCACATGTGTCATTTCTTGTATGTCCCGTCCTGTAAATACTGCAGTAAAATTGGGACCCCTTCAGCCTCAGACATTTCTGGGGTCTGACCTTTTGCATGAGTGTGCTTCAAAGGCCTCTGTCAGAAGGCCTGCTCACACTATTTAATACAAATGACGTGATGTGATGGCTTGCGCAGCAATTCAATTAATATCCAAGGTTTTTTTTATACTATATGGTTTGAATTCTATTAGAAATCTGGTTTAGACTGTGCCCGCAAGCTGTTTTTCTCTTTAACACATTTGCTGTCGTTTTTTTTCTACATTAGATGAATGTGAATCAGTGGCATGCATACATATTTGTATTTTAAGTTATTGTATTATCATGTGGCAGCTTGTTGAGCTGATGGCGTTGACAAGCAGGAGTGTAGGCCAAACTGAAGGTTTACATGATAACCACACCGCAAAGGATTTCTGTAATTGTTCCTTAAGCTCTTTTTTTATTAGTTACATATATGCTTTATGAAGCATTGATTGTATGAAGTGGTTTCATATGTTTAGTGGCTTCTGTGCAAGAAATTGTATCAGTCGTTTAAACAGGCAAACATCTGTGAGTAATAGAAGCGCTGTGTCAATATACCTGGTAGAGTCACATGCGCTAAAAAAAACCTATCTTGCATTTTATGCCCTCCAAAAATAAGTCACCAATCGTAGGTCACAGTGTCCCAATGTGCTGCTGTTTAGTCAACAGATCTTCACACTTAAAAGCAAAATGTGCTACAAGGAAAACATTCAAATAATTTAGAGAAGGCCCTTTCCAAAATGTAACCGTTAAAAGTCATTTTCTTTAAATGAGTTTTAGCCTAAATGATGCACCAGGGTCTAATTCAGGTTGTGAATGTTCAAAAACATTTTTGATTCTTCTTAAGAAAATAAGTTTCGCACACCCTGACTCACACAAATGGAAATAATGCCTTTTAAGAGGAGCGCCAGGTAAATAAAGAAGAGTTGAACCATAGATTAAAAGTCAACGTCCGATGCCTCTGTACTCGTTTTCATCCGCGACCATTCAAAACAAATGATTACATATACATTTTTAGTTTTAATTCATTGTCGTTTGACAATAAAGTGATCATTTTCAAATGTTTATACCAACACTTCAGAGGTAGGGCCCGGCTCGGCTACATCCCATAAAAACATAACATTAGTAACCTCCCTATTTGTTTTTTTGTTCACATATACAGGCCAGAGGATGGGGAGCTGGAGGAGGGCGAGCTGGAAGATGATGGGGGAGAGGTGGAGGAGAAGGAGGTTGGTGGAGGTGTGTCTGCAGTCGCAGTAGAAGGAGGTGGAGATGGCGTAGAAGAAGCAGGCGGAGGAGGAGGTGAAGCGGTAGGGGAAGGGGCCGCGGACAGGCCTCGGAGGAGTAAGGAGGGCCACGCCAGCAGCAACTCAGACGAGGAGAGGTCCCACCGCCGCAAGAGGAAGAGGAAGAAAGAGAGAGAGCGAGAGAGGGAGAAGAGGAGGGCCAAGAAGAAACGCAAATCCAAACACAAAGTAAGACTGATGAGAACAGACCCACCCTGTTGTATTTCACCCTCAGTCTTAATCTTAAAAAATATCCAGAATCAGGTTTATGGCCAGGTAGGTTCACATATACGAGTAATTGACCTTGGTGTACATGGTGCATACATAAACACAGTTAAAGAAGATCAAAAGTAAGTAATACCCAACAAATAAAAACTATTGAAAGAAACTATAAAAAACTGTTCTATGTTAAGATATAGAAAATGATTGCGATGTATAGTTTTCTATGACATAGTACTCGGGAAGTGGACAATGGAAAGTAAAAAAGCTGTTCAGATACTAAGAGAGGTATCTTGTGTACAAATATGCAAGATATTCGTAGGGTTGTGCAGAACTGGAAATGTTGTTAATAAATCAAAAGAAGATACTGTTTGCTTAGTGTGCGTTAATGTAATGCATAAAGTCTATGGAGTGGCTGAGAGAAAGTGTCAGTGGGGGGGCCGGGCCTTTGTTGATGAGGCCGGTTGCAGAGGGGAAGAAACTGTTCAGCTGGCGAGGGGTTTTGGTCCTGATGTGAGTCTGTGGCTGTCTACAACTTTCTCTCTAAAAAGTCTTCTTTCTCTCCCTCAGCGCCATGCGTCCTCTGATGACGACCACTCAGAGCTCAGCGACGACTCTGACTACAGTCCCAGTGAGAAGAGGAAGTACAGAGAGTACAGTCCACAGTACCCCCCCCCTCCTGTAAGGCTTTATTCCCCTAAGTCTCTGTTCATAATGTTTTGTGTAAAGTTAAATAACCTGATATGTTTACCCCGCTCTAGACTCATGGGGGCTACAGCGGCTCAAAGAAAGGCAGCTACTTGAAGATGGACAAGCAGAGCTATGGAGGCTACGAAGACTTTGAAGAGGAGAACTTTGAGGGAGAGGAAGAGGAGGAAATTGCTGATGAAGACTACGACGACTTCAACAAGGAGCTGAACCAGTACCGCAAGGCGAAGGAGGGTGGAGGCCCACGTGGGGGACGAGGTGGGTTAAAGCTTTGATTAAAGAATGAAACTTGGTGTGTGTTACATATTCTGCTGCACAATACATATTCACCCAGCTGTTGTCTGTGAGACTAAACACAGCGCATTAAGTGCAAAAACTAGGATATGCTAAGAGGCAGATTGCATATAAGGCCAGGTGCTGTTAAGTATGTTCCATATACATTTCACTGGCCTTTCGGAGCACAGACTTTTAAAATAATCTGTGACTGCGTGACAAAAGCTTTGTAGCAGATTCTTCATAAGTTTACAGACATACAAATGAACATATTTTCCAAAGGTTCCTTATCAATTCAGATAAGGCACTGACTCGGCTCTTTTCCTCACTCATGTGATTTCTCTGTCTCTGCAGGGGGAAGAGGTCGCATGAAAACCCAGAGAGGCCGCGGACTGATGAGGGGAGGGAGGAGAGGAAGAGGAGGGAGCAGAGGAAGAGGAGGTCGAGGGGGAAGTGGAGGAGGAGGAGGGGGAAGTGGAGGAGGAGGAGGAGGAGGAAGTGGAGGAGGAGGAGGAGGAGGAGGAGGTGGAGGAGGTGGAGGAGGAGGAGGAGGAAAGATGGGAGGAGAAAATGACGATGGAGACGGCTATGGAGAAGAGATGGAGGTGAGGTTTAGAAAGAAGAAACAAAGTCTTCTTGATTCGGTCAAACTCCAGGGAAAGAGTTGCTATTCTCTCGGCTAATTTTGTGTATTTTGCATATTTTTAAATATACTCACATTCACAGTAAACAAAAAAAGATTGAAGATGTAAATATCCTTAAGTTTTACTTGAGGGTACTTTTTTCTGTGTTGGCCCTACATGAAACATCTGCAGTGGTTGATCATAACCTTTTTCTGTCTATCATTGAGAAATCAAACTTGTTAGAATAATAATCTGAAAAAAGAATAATCAATGAACACATATTCAAAGTCCTTGCATCACCATTTCTGAATGTGTATTATCATAGTTGATTGCATTTACTGTGTACTGCTTTTAATATCACCTCAGCTAAAGAAAATGGGATGAATGTTCTACAACCAACTGGGACTAGAGATGCACCGATTTTAATTTCCTTGGCAGCTTCCGTATTCAATAATGTGTGAAATCTGTTCGCACAGTATGGAGATGATGACTATGACAACATGGGTGAGGAGGACTACGATGAGTACTCAAATCAGTACAAAAAGTCCAAAGACAGAGGCCGAGGTGAGTCTGGACCCGAGGGGCTTCTTCATGTTCTCAACTCAAAGACTCAAAGTCACTTTCTGACGCTGTTGATGAACTAAGTCACCAGTCTGTGTTAAATGTCTCCCCAAGGAGGTAAAGGTCTCCGCGGGCGAGGGAGAGGTAAAGGAGGGCGCGGTATGCTCAGAGGAGGAAGAGGTCGAAACCGGGGGAGAGGAAGAGGCGACATGGGCAACGATAACGATGACAACAACAACAACAACAACGGGGACATGGACAACGGGGTAAGAATTATAATTCTTCTGCTAAAGTGTCCTGATACTGTAGTTGAATCACAACTGATAATTCAAGTAGGTGCATGCATATGGCTTCTTTGGTGCTCATAAAGTAATTAAACGTGAGCAATAAAATGTACACAAATCTTCTCTTAATGACACCCTCCTTCGTTTGTGGTTTAGGACGGCGGTGGAGGAGGTGATGGACCAGGACCAATGAGGAGGAATCCCAATGAGAAGCACCAGGATAAGAAAGGAAAGGCCATCTGCAAGTACTACATCGAGGGGCGCTGTACCTGGGTAAGGTTGCACACATTTACGTGTATCACAGTTTGGTCAGTCTAGGAACACGTCATCTGTTACTGTGAAGACGATACCTGTGGGCTCATATTTTGGGTGATGTGGTTTAGCCAGTCGATATCTGGGCCCAGCTTCCATTTCTGTTCCCCAGTCAGTGTTTACCATCCAAATAACAACACACCATACCAACATTCAAGGTTCTTGATTGTTAATACTACATATTACACACGCAGCATATATGGAAGCGCAATGTTGTTCTGTGGAAGCACAACACAATTATCATATTAAAACAGCTACACATATATGGTTGCTGTTAAATGATGCTCAATTAAGATTTGTATATCTGGCACCAGTGATCTATAGATATATGAATGTGTTTTGGCTGATGACAAATCTCCCTGTATGCACCATTCTACATTTAATAATTACATCATGATGTTTTTCAATCAACAGGGGGACCACTGCAACTTCAGCCATGACATTGAGCTGCCCAAGAAGAAGGAGCTGTGCAAGTTCTACATCACTGGGTTCTGTGCCCGGGCCGACCACTGTCCTTACATGCATGATATCCTTCACTAATGAACCCAGCAGAGAGACTCTTTTTCAGGGGGATATATTGACGAGTAACTGTTTTTAGTGTCAAATTAAAGTTGTGTCCTTAAATAGAGATCCTTCAACAGCAAAGCTGACGTTTTTACCAGTATGAAGTTACATCATTTAGATTCCTCTTAACTTAAAATATAGGTTTGCTTTAATCTCAAATTCAAATGATGACCTCATGAAAAAAGGGTCAATTTGAGTTTTCTGTCAATTCTTTTTGTGAGTGTTCTTCCTTGACTCCCATGCTACGCGAGTTCCCCTGTAAGCTGTTCCACACCACGGGGAACTGTGTAAACGGAGACGAGTGCATGTTCTCCCATGACGCCCTGAATGAAGACACCCAGGACCTGCTCGACAAGGTGGGCCTCGCCTACTTTCTGTGAACTCTTTCAAATGTTTTATTAGTATTAAATGAATGTCCAGGTTCTATACAAATCCAAAATGCAGTGAAGCTCTTTAACTTAAACAATACAATACAAAGGAGCTTTATTGGCATGACCACTTAAAAACATAGCATTGGCAAAGCATGCCGCACAGGGCAACAACAAAACAAAAACAAAAAAGAAAACTAAACATGCATGCCAACAACACATTTAATAAATAATAAATAAACATCCAATAGAAACCGTTTGTTCAAATGATTACCTTGAGTAAATATTTCCGATGAACTTATGTGTGGACATGTTTGTTTTCCAGATGCTGGCGGAGGATGCGGAGGCGGGAGCGGAGGATGAGAAGGAGGTGGAGGAGCTGAAGAAGCAAGGCATCAACCCCCTCCCCAAACCCCCTCCTGGAGTCGGCCTCCTCCCCACCCCTCCCCGGCTCCTTCCTGTAGACAACAACACAGGGGGCGGAGATTTTGGCGGGCCCCCGTCAGGTGACTTCGGGGGTCCTCCACCTAACCAGGGGCCCAATGCCAACAAAGGTCCCCCCCCAGGGCCTGGGCCTGGTCCTGGGTCCAACCCCTGTGTTCCTCCCCCTGTCCATGGCCCTGATGTAAATCTCTTCCAAGGTGGGCCCCCAAATCCCAGTGGCCCTCCTCCCCACATGGGCCCCCCACCTCCATGTGGTGGAGGAGGTGGTGGCCCCGGGAAGAAGATCCCCTCCCTGTTCGAGATCAAAGTCCAGCCCACAGGACAGCTGGCTCACAAACTGGCTGTAAGGTAAGACATCAGAAAACAAACTTTAGAACTCAAAGAATAATGTTATGATTCTCATCAGGGCAAACTGCAGCTGGTGGTTTGATCACAGAGTGCAAAGCTGCAAAGATTGTCTTATTTAGTTCATTCAAAGAATACTTGCTAACACTTTATATTAAGGTACACAAATTCACCATCAACTAGTTGTTCATCAACGTGCATATTAGCAGTATATTGGCTCTTTATTAGTCATTATAAAACACTTATTAATGCCTTATTCTACAAGTAATACTTTATTGTTGGGTAACTTTTTAACTTTTATAGATTTTTGTATAGATCTTTGAAATCCACTCTGAATCCTCACTCCTGTTCTCTTCCTCTCTCAGGGGCCAGACTCCCAGTAGCAACCAGGGTCAGACTGCAGCACCGGGACCCCAAGGGCCCCCTGGGGCCCCTCCACCTTGCTTTCCTCCTCCCCCAGGCATGATGCCCCCTGACATGCAGAACATGGGCCCCAACCACGGGATGAACCAGGGTCCCCCCAACATGGGCCCCCCTCCCATGATGGGAGGATTTTCGTCTGGTGACGGCCCTCCTCATGGAGGAGCCATGCCCCCAGGGCCTCCTCCGGGAGGAGGAAACTTCTTCAATAACTTCTTCCACCCGCAAGACTCAATGATGGAGGGAGTGGTGCAAGAAGGTGAGTCAGCTCTAATCATTAAAGTACATCATCAGAGGCTGAGAGAAGAAGCAGCAGGTTTGATCTGGTGGTGGTTCAAACAACTGTTCACTGACGCTTGTTCCCTCTCAGGTGACAACTACCAGGGTTTCTCTGGCATGGACGAGAGAGGAGGAGCAGGGAACGTTGGTCATCAGTCCGGTGGCCAGGAAGGCTTTGCTAATGGAGCATCAGCCAATCAGGGAGGGATCTCTGTGCCTGACTTCCTGCCTCCAGCACAGCGCGTGCTGTTCATGAGGATCCAGCAGAAGCAGCAAGAGGAAGAGGAGAGAGCTCGCAGGATGGCCGAGGGGGGGGCAGAGAAGAGTCGAGAGGCTGAAGGTAGGGGAGCGGCTGGTGTATAAATGATTCCTGTGAGATAGTGAGATGTAGTGCTCCTTTGCATTATCTCTTTGTCACTTATTTTACATTTCCACTTTGTATATATATCCTCCTCCAACACTATATTCAGAGGGAGATTCTGGAAAGTCGTGAAAAAAGGAAAGGACTGTAGATTGATGTTGAACACATTATGTGTTACTGACCAACTTTCATATTACATGTTAAAGGTGATGGTTGGCTTTAGATTCCATGGTTCTGCTTCATAGGAGTGATGTGCAGATGTGGATTGATCAGCAGCTAAATCCATGTTTCACTGAGGGCTGTCATGATATAAAAGATTCCCTACACGATTAACGTCACACAAACAATTTACGATAATGATATTTGGAGGATATCTACAGAAAATGTTGTGGGTGGGGAGGTAATGCTTTTAGTCAAAATCGTCATTTGACATTGTTCAGTGTGGCAACTATTTACACTCAAAATGATAGTGAAGGAAGGTGGATAGTGTCTTTAACGGTTCAGTTAACTATACTGAAGTTCATTTATCCTATACATCATTGATAACGCAGTGAAGTGCAGCCTTCATAACATTTAAGTTACCAATCCAATATATAGGATTGACAATAGCTCCGCATTGCATAAAGAAAAGAATGCTGCATCCAAGCTGTTTCTATATTAGATTTTTTTAAATATGTTCTACTAAATAACAAATCTTCTCTTTAGTCTTTTTGCCCTTGTCACTTGATTTAAAATAATTTCTTTCTCCTTTAAAAAGTATTTACTGCATTTGAACCTAAATGAACTAAGACTTAATGGATGTCAGGATCCGAGCGCTGATTGTGTCCCCTGTAGTGTCAGTGTTTCCGAACAGACTGTTCCAGAAGTAAACACATCTGTGTCTTGTCTCTCAGGTGACTCTGGGAACTGGTACTCTAGTGAGGATGAGGACGGAGGGAGCAGTGTGACGTCCATCTTGAAGACGCTCCGTCAGCAGACCCAGGCCCCCCCTAAATCTGACGGCCCCCGGAGCGACCCTCGCCTCCTGAAGGCCTCTCCTGCCAACCCTCCTCCCCGGCCCGCAGACCCCCGCATGGCTCGGGACCCTCGCCTGGCCCGTGGTGCAGACTCGGCTGACTCCACCCTCCCCATGCCCACTATAGCCTCCTCTGGACCCCCAGCAGACCCCAGGTTAGCCCGTCTAGCTGCTGCTGTGTCAACAGGACCCCCACACGTGCCCCCTGCAACCAAACCGGAGCCTCCTCTGGTCTACAAGCCCCCGCCCCTAACAACCCCGGCAGCGGCAGAGGAGGAGGAGACGGAGCGGGTCCTACGAGACAAGCCGGTCCCCATCCCTCTGGATCCCCTCATGGGCATGGCTCTCAGAGACCCCCGCTCACAGCTGCAGCAGTTCAGCCACATCAAGAAGGACATTGTGCTCCACATGCCAGCCTTCATCAAGACCATCACCTGGTCTCCGGAGGACCTCCTCCCCCTCCCGGCCCCAAAGCAGGACCTCCTCCCACTCCCCCCCGGCATCCCTCCCGTCTCCTCCATAGAACCACGTCCGACCCGCTCTCAGCCGCCGCTCCAACCGTCGCTCCCTCACTCACATCCTCCTCCCCTTCACCCTCACCCCCCTCCCTCCTCCCTGGACCCCCCTGCCCCCTCCTCCTCCTCCACCCTCCCAGACTTTGAGCTGCTGTCTCGTATCCTGAAGACTGTCAACTCCAGCCCATCCCAAACTCCTTCCCCTCCTCTCCTACCCCCCCCTATTCCCCCTATGTCGCTCCTGGGGCCACCTCCATCCATGCCTCCCCCACCCGTAGAAAAGCCAGTCGACCCCCGTATGTCCCGAAAAGGCCCCTCGGACCCCCGCCTCCAGCCTCAGAAGTCGGCTCTGAAGCAACCCTCTGAGCCCCTGCCCCCCCCTGTACCCTCTGCCTCTCCAGCACCACCATCCAGCTCCTCCACCCCTCCCATCGCCCCCTATGACCCCAGGATGTTCTCCTCAGGTGGGGCAGGCCGCGGTGTGGGGGCCGGGCCAGCAGGGGGAGCCAGCGTGCTGAGCAACATCAGTCTGTATGACCCAAGGACTAACAAACCAGGTAGCCCCGGAGCCGGCAGCGGCTCCAACAACTCCCCCAACTCAGCCAGCGTGGAGTCCAAACCCAGCGACCCCCCCGCGGCTAAACCCAAGTCCAAGGAGCCCCTGTTTGTCCGGAAGTCTGCTCTGGACCAGCCAGAGCCGGAAAAAAGTGTCGAGCAAGGAACCGACCGATACAACAGCTACAACCGGCCCCGGCCCAAACCCGCACCCTCGCCCAACTCCACAGCACAGGGGGGTCCTGCAGCCGCAGCAGGGCAGGGGCCTCCAGGAGCTTCTGGGGATCAGGGGCCCGCGGGGGTCCACAACCTCCCAGTGTCCACTTTATTTGGCGCGGTGAAGCAGGCGGCCAAACCCGGCGGGACGGGGAGCCCGTTCGGGGGGAGCAGCCCGGTGCAGGCGGAGCAGAGCACCGCGGAGCAGGACAAGGCCTCGCTGAAGGATGTGTTCAAGGGCTTCGACCCCACTGCCTCGCCCTTCTGCCAGTGACCCCCCCCCCCACCACTGAACCCTAACCCCCATCATGATGTGGGCGGATGGCTTGTTTTAACATTTCTGAACACCGAACTGTAAAGAGAAAGAGAAGCGCACTGAGGCAGCTGCCTGTAAGACTGGTTTATCAGACAAACTTTTGTGAACAAACTGATGTCACATGATGTGTTTCATGCACACTCTCAGACACAGACACACTCAGACACAGACACACTCGCACACATTTAACCACAGTGTTTCAGATTCATATTCTATAGAAAGACTCCTGCGTTATGGAAAAGGTTTAAATTTAAATCTCTAAAGCTCTATTTTAAACAAACGTATTGATGTATAAATAAATGTATTCTCTTCTTCTCAATGCTTTATCAAAACAGTTATTTACAAAGGCAGCAAACACACATTTATATTAATGAACGTTTTAGCTTCACGTCTTTTTTTTCCTCCTCCTTCCTCCTCACCTTTAAACTGGTTGACATGTTTGTCTACCGTTTGTGGACAGTCAATGCTTTTGGCAACAGAAGAAAAAAAGGATACTTCTGAATTAGTTTCAACAAATTGCTCATTTGTGGTGTTTTTGTAACTAAATGAATGACACTGAGGCGACTCCATCCCTGTTCCCCATAAGAAACCAGTGACCCTGTATTTCCCTGCCTTTGCACCCTTCTCTCTGCTTTCATTTCTCCGTCTGACCCACCATGTCACAGAAACATTTGCAAATACCTAAATCTATATTCAGCTTTTTTTTAGTATTTATTTTTCTACTTCTTTGCACTTGTCAGTCTGTGTCCTCTGAAGGCTGTTATTCATGTTTTTAAATGTCTGTAGCTCCTTTAGCCGCTCATATTCTGTTCATTTCCAGGTGTTTAGCTTTGACCTAAAATAGGTAACTGCGGGTACATGAAGTGAGCGCCTCTATAACCACTACTGTCGTTCCTTTCTCTTAGTTTGACTTTGATCAGTCCTTTTGCTCCAGGGTGAGAAGAGATTCTGTGGCTTTAAGGTAGAAGAGGCGGATAAGATCATCATCATCATCATAGCCATTGCATCAGTAAAGAGCAGCATGATGGTGCTCTTCTCTGCCCAAAAGGTTTTTTCAAAGGTTCAACCCATCATTTGTCAGCCTCTGTTGGATGAAAGGAATTGGACACTTTGATTCACCTTCTAGCCTTTAGCTTTTGGTTGTTTTGTTTGTATTAGTTTGGAATGGAAAGAAGCATACAGGGCAAAGCTGCAGATGTCTGAGTGGTTATTGGAATAGAATGATTTGCACCCTTGCAGCATCACTTTGTAAGTGTTTAGCTTTAGTGTCTGCTGACAGTGTGACAATCAGAAACTGGACTTGGACCTAAATGTTATGAATGCATTGATCTGTGTATGGGCTCTGCCTAAACACACAGCAGACCTTAACTCAGTGTTACTACATGGCTCTCTGTCAGGCTGCAGATAAAGAGGTGCACACTTCATGGGGGAAATGTTCGGTAGGGATGGATTCAGTTTGGATGAGTGTTAAAAATGTCTCCAGACTCCCCTTTTACACAGTGAGAGGTCAGGTGCAGTGTATGAATAGGGGGGGGTCAGCAGGTGCCTGCTCTCATTAGCTTGTTTGAAGATCTTTAAACACAGGGTCACTAGAGGAGCCTTTAGAAGTTTTTTCTGACTTCCACAAGGTGCCAGGATTGACCGTCTTATGTATAAATGTTGATCATTTTAATTTATTTTTTTATACTTAGATACATTTACTTCCTCACTTGACATTTATAACTGAATATGTTCGGAGTCTGTGATTGCCGCTCCCCTCAGTGGGACACCCTGCCACCGTGTGAAGAGAGGGGAAATGTATTTTTTTTATTTGGTTTTGTGTGTAAAGATTCACTTTGTCTCCCTTTATGTAAAGAGGATGAGTTACAGATATACGAGCGTGGAAGTTACTGTTGATTTGTTCTTTCCTTTAACAGCTTTGTTGTTTGTAAGTTTGTTTGTTTTCTTTCTTCCTTGCTATGTACATTGACCAGTACCCTCTCTTTGAAGGAGTGGCGTTTTCTAACTGTACACTGTAGGTGAGGTTGTTAAAGTATTTAAATAAAGTTGATACATGATCAACCACTAAAAACTCAGTTCTGTGTATTTATCTTTTGTGTTTATATATTTAAAGAGCCGTTTTGCTACTTAAATCCAAATAAAGATTGCCTTTTTTTCTCCATCCATACAACTCATCACAAAGCCACATGACGCTGATGTGTCTATAAACTTGTAATTCTGTTATTTGTATAGGGTGTTGACAGCAGACAGGGCTAAATATGCAGAAGTTTCCATGTCTTTCAGCATAAGAGGGTAAAAAAAAAAGACCCTTTTGATTTATTTTGTTCCCATGTCATTTAAAATATCCAGTTTGAATGGTATTGTTTAACATTTATTTTTCCACCATAAATGGTTATTTTAAGCTACTAAAAGAAGCAGACGGGTGGAGTTTAGCAAATCAGGAGCATTGGGGGGTTTGACGCGGTGGTCAGTGACCTGACCTTTCCTTCCTTTGACTATTTACATTTTCTTTCCCTGTTCTGGAAATATTAATCGAGAATGGCCTTTGACCCAAAATCCAAAATCCCATCATTTATCACTGACTGTGTTGCTGTCACTTTTCCTGATAATGTTCCTTTCTATCTTTAGGCTCCAGGGGCTCTTGGATCGGCCCCCCAGCAGCACGCAGCCTGTTTCCTGGTGAGCTCCGATCCGATCCTTTAGTGACTCACTTCCTGTTCCCCTCCCATCCTGCAACACTGGCTCCAGGAAGACAAACTATTCATCCAGTACCTCAAAGGTTTCCTATCACTCACACGCACACACACACGCGCACGCTCTGAGCTGCCAGCTCATCTAGCTACATGTTGCCCCTCTGCTGACCTTCAGAAAAACTGGTACTCCTCGTGGATTCTGCAAAATATTGTATAGCATGACTATTTTATGAGAAACAAATTCGATTTCTGCAACAACATCTTCCAAATCAAAGATTTAAAGATGCTTAAAGGGGCCCTATTCTGCTGATGTTCAGGTGTATATCAGTATGTAGTGTCTCTACTTTAAAGAGTCCTCTCCTGCTGATGTTCAGGTGTATATCAGTATGTAGTGTCTCTACTTTAAAGAGTCCTCTCCTGCTGATGTTCAGGTGTATATCAGTATGTAGTGTCTCTACTTTAAAGAGTCCTCTCCTGCTGATGTTCAGGTGTATGTCAGTATGTAGTGTCTCTACTTTAAAGAGTCCTCTCCTGCTGATGTTCAGGTGTATGTCAGTATGTAGTGTCTCTACTTTAAAGAGTCCTCTCCTGCTGATGTTCAGGTGTATATCAGTATATAGTGTCTCTACTTTAAAGAGTCCTCTCCTGCTGATGTTCAGGTGTATATCAGTATGTAGTGTCTCTACTTTAAAGAGTCCTCTCCTGCTGATGTTCAGGTGTATATCAGTATGTAGTGTCTCTACTTTAAAGAGTCCTCTCCTGCTGATGTTCAGGTGTATATCAGTATGTAGTGTCTCTACTTTAAAGAGTCCTCTCCTGCTGATGTTCAGGTGTATATCAGTATATAGTGTCTCTACTTTAAAGAGTCCTCTCCTGCTGATGTTCAGGTGTATATCAGTATGTAGTGTCTCTACTTTAAAGAGTCCTCTCCTGCTGATGTTCAGGTGTATATCAGTATGTAGTGTCTCTACTTTAAAGAGTCCTCTCCTGCTGATGTTCAGGTGTATATCAGTATGTAGTGTCTCTACTTTAAAGAGTCCTCTCCTGCTGATGTTCAGGTGTATATCAGTATGTAGTGTCTCTACTTTAAAGAGTCCTCTCCTGCTGATGTTCAGGTGTATATCAGTATGTAGTGTCTCTACTTTAAAGAGTCCTCTCCTGCTGATGTTCAGGTGTATATCAGTACGTAGTGTCTCTACTTTAAAGAGTCCTCTCCTGCTGATGTTCAGGTGTATATCAGTATGTAGTGTCTCTACTTTAAAGAGTCCTCTCCTGCTGATGTTCAGGTGTATATCAGTATGTAGTGTCTCTACTTTAAAGAGTCCTCTCCTGCTGATGTTCAGGTGTATATCAGTACGTAGTGTCTCTACTTTAAAGAGTCCTCTCCTGCTGATGTTCAGGTGTATATCAGTATGTAGTGTCTCTACTTTAAAGAGTCCTCTCCTGCTGATGTTCAGGTGTATATCAGTATGTAGTGTCTCTACATGTTTCCATGCTTTAATGTTCAAAAAGCTCTTTATGTTTCTCATACTGCCTGTGCTGCAGCACCTCTTTTCACCCTCTGTCTGAAACCAGAGCCCAGTCTTCTCTGATTGGTTAGCTGGCCGGCTCTGTTAGGTTAAAGGGTGGGACATCTCTATCGGTACAATTTAGTTGGAGGGCTAGCCAATGGAAGCATGAGTGTTACATAGCGTTGTCACTATGTTACTGAAGTAAACAAAGGAGTCCAATCGAGCCTGCATAGGAAATGAAGTATCCACTGTCAACATGAACTTCGTTAAGTCATGCATTGTTCTTTGTAAAAACATATTCATCTGAAAAGTAACTGTGAAGCTGTCTTAAGAATGTAGTTGAATAAAATACAGTACAATAATTACCTATGACTTTTTGAAGAGTAGAAGTATAAAATAGCAAAACATGTAAATACTCTAGTAAAGAACCTCACATTTTTACTTTAATACAGTTCATGAGTTAATGTTATTAGCATAGGTGGGAGAAGTACTCAGATCATGTACTTGAGTAAAAGTAGAAGTGTTACAAGTAAAAGTCCTGCATTCAAAATGTTACTCAAGTACAAGTATCAGCATCAAAATATAGTGAAAGTAGTGACAGTAAAAGTAGTCATTGTGCAGATTGGTCCATTTCAGAATAATATATATGATATGTTTTATAATGATTGATCATGAAAGTGTTCTCAAAGCTGGTAAAGGTGCAGCTAGTTTGAATGACTTTGTATACTGCAGGGTAGCTTGTGAATTTACTCCAGGTGGAACTAAAGTCTGATTTAACACTTGATTATATTTCACATCATTTATCCACATCTGTAAAGTAACTAAAGGTATTAAATACATGTAGTGGAGTAAAAGTACACCATTTACCTCTGAACTGTAGTGGAGTAGAAGAACAAAGTAGCATAAAATGGAAATACTCAAGTAAAGTACAAGTATCTCCAAATTGTACTTAAGTACAGTACTTGAGTAAATGTACTTAGCTAGCCTACTTCCCACCTCTGGTAATAGTTACCCTCCAGCACTGATACTGTACCTGAATGAATCACTCCCTTTCCCACAGACTAATCCTGGAGACATGTGTAATATACCTGCAGTCGGTGGATTCCTGTACTGTGCAACCATCAGAACATCGGTGAACATGTCATATGAGTAATAGTTTCTTTGACTCAAACTTTACCATGTTTTGACTGGAGCTCTGGGCGGGTTCATCATCATGTTCTAGTGGTTTACTTCAATCACTTTTAGCACAAAGAGTCTTGAGGAATGAGGAACAACTTGCTCTTTCATTAACGTTTAAGTACGAGTCAGGACATTTGAACAGGTAACGTTTATTGTCATTCTCCATGGAGGCTTTGCAAAAGACGGGAAGAAAAAAGATAGTGCCCGTGGGAGGCTAATGCAGTACATGAAAACAGAGAGCTAAAACAACACAATAAAAAACCCTGAATAAAATAGACAATAGAACATAAAAACAGTATATTAAAACAAAGCAATAAAAAGGAGCACAGCACAATGGGAACATTCAGAAACTATACTAAGATCAAAGTGTGTCCAAGTGCTGAGGTTTATTATGTAAACCTCCCCACTGTATTTCAACATGTGGAAATGTTTCATTATATATATTTAATAATTATCATTTGAATTCCGACACATTAGTATGATTACTCTCAACAAATAGGACAACTTCTGCCCATCTGATAGCTGTATTTTTTTTTATTTTTTAAATGTCATATTCTTGTCACATTTAAAAACAAACAGGCGGGTCCTTTGTTGCACGTCTTTCCCGTCACTTCCTGTCATCTCCCATGTGTCCCCCCCCCAGATAACTATAGCCAAACGATTAACTTAAAAAATAAATGTTCAGTTTACTGTTATACTTTTAATATACTGTATGTTATACTTTAGTTTCTCCAGTAAAATACATTACATTTTAGACTCAGTTGTAGATAACAATTAAAGCATGCCAATACATGTAACATTGGGAAACGTGTGCTTGCTGGGCAATGTTAAGCAATGATGTGAAACATTGCTGGGCCCTTGTTGATTTCCCTGTTTCACTCCCGGTGTTCCCTGGAGTCCAGGGTGTTCACGGCTTCATAATCTGCTTAGCTCCTGTCCGGGAGGCTACCTGTGCTGAGGGTATATTTAGAAGAAGTGATCCTCTTAGAGGAAGACTTCAGCTGGGATTTGGAGATTGTCGCCTGTCGGCTGCGTTTGTGGGGAAGTCATGTGAGAATACCAATGTTAATGAATGGTCTCTATTTAAATGATGTGTCTGTCTGACTCATCTCGCTGGGAATCATTGCTTAACAAATGACGGGTTTAAGGATATAATGGAGATTTATTCCACCCTGACAACTGGAAATTATTACTGTAGGCCGTCTTTGCTCGTAAACAATTAAACAGCATTTAACAGCCGCTCATCTCATCTGCGTCAAACAGAAAATAAAAGTAAAGCCCACAGTGTTTCCTGTCATAGTTTTCTCTCCCTGGCGCCCACGCTGTCCGGACTGGGAGTCTGTCTGTCTGACTGGGAGTCTGTCTGTCTGACTGAGAGTTACTTCATGTAAACTGCTCCAGATAAGAGCGTCTGAAAAATGTACAACTGTTGATTCCCGTCTTTGTCTTATTACAGACAAGCTGAGACTTCACTTCAACATAACTGCCAGACTAACCTTCAAATCCAGTGAAACGGCATCATCGGTTTGCTGAAATATATCTCACACTGCTTTGTTCCTGTACAATATCAAATCATAATCAGGATTCTTTATCATTCTGTTTAGTAGGAACTGTGTGTGCTGGAGCTGACATCCCAGCAGATTAGGCAGCACACACATCACTGTGTTATGCCTTGATAGAAGTTATATCAGT